TTCTTCTCATAGGATAGGGGCATAGTGGATAGTAGCTCTCAACCTCTACTTATAGGCAGTTCTGGCTCAGTCAGGGCCTGTCCTGTCTGATCCTTCACTGCCCCATCTGTCCTAGTGCCTGTCCTCTCATCTCACCTGTTCTCCTATCTCATCAGGTTGTTGAAAATAGCTACCATTTATTGAATACTTGCTATGTAGACACTTCCAGAGAATTTCCAGGATTTTTCATATAATCCTGGCAACAACCTAGCAGAAGAAGGGTTATTATGCCCATGTACAGAAGAAGAAACAGACTCAGACTGGAATAACTTGTCCAAAGCACCATGAATGGTGCAAGCGGTAGGGTTGGGCTTTTTGTAACATTTATTAAGTACTTACTATATACCGCTTAATGCTCTGCTGAATAAGTATACATACAATATACCCATCATTTTACATACAGGGAAATCTAAGCTTTAGAAAGTCTAAGTAAGTTGCCCAAATCACGTAACTCTAAGTGGTATAGGCAGGACTCAAACCTGGGTTTACATGGTTCAGAGCCCACGCTCTGACCTCGGTGCTATACTGGGCTCCTTCCACGTTCTGCCAGACACCTAAAATCCAGGCTTTTTCTTTTCTTTTTTCAATAAGATAGCATATTTAATGTTATATAAAAGACATTTGGAGGCACCAGCAAATCTGACCTTGAATTTGCAGCAAAGACCCGGAACATTTGGATCTGTTAGTTGTGGTTGAAGTCCCTAGGTGGTGCAAACAGTTAATGCACTCAACCGCTAACCTGAAGGTTGGAGGCTTGAGTCCATCCAGAGGTGCCTTGGGAGAAAGAATTCAGGCTTATTCTGCTACGTCACATTGCTGTGAGAAGCTAATGAAATGATGGAGATGAAAGTGCTTTGTGTGTTGTAAAGGGCAACCTAATATGAAAAGTGCAGTCTAGTCCTCTGCTATTCGAGTAGACCTACTGAACTCCAGAGCTAGGCAGAATGGTCAGATTTAATGCAGTGCTTCTCCAGCACTGTGACAGTCCCTGCTGTGCCGAGCCCCTGCAACTGATAGGAGCAGGTTTTAGCAATCCCTCAGGTGTGATGGGGTGAAAATAACAATAACCCCCTTCCAGGTACACCCCTACTCTGACTCTCCCTACCTGAGGCTCAGACTTTGACTAGTAATCCTACAGCAAATAGATGATTTCTGACCAGCAACACTGTCTTTGCATCTGCATAAATCCACATGAGGGCACACACTGGTGACAGCAGCAGTGGGCAATTTGTAACCATCCGCCAAGACCCACACACTCTTTTTTCCTCCTTTAAGAGACTTGCTTAATACCAGACAACTGAAGGAATAACAATGAACAAGGAATGATTTAATATTAGCAATTTAAATTTATCAAGACACATTTGGTGACTATGGGCAAGAAACTTAACATCCCCCAGCCTCAGTTTCCCCATTGGGTTGTTATGAGGATTCATTGAGACAGCTCCAACCGAGCTAAGAGTTGTAACACTTGCCTGAGAAGGCCTCCAGCAGGGCCCAGCAGCAGAGGGTGAGAAGAAGCTGTCCTGATCAAGAACTGTATCTTGAGTTGTTACTTCTGAGTCGTTCCTGATCCCAAGTAGTACTCTGTTACTTCCCTCATAAACCCCATAACTATAAGTATAGTCTGTGACTTCTGTGTGGCCATTGCAATGACTTATTGAACCCAGCAGAGAAGTACAGTGCCATGGGAGGGTTGGCTGGTGTCCGAATTGGTAAAAAGGCTGGAGGGTGGAGGTCTGTCTGACCTTAACCTCAGAGCAATCAGCTTTGGGCTGTTTATGCTGATAATGATTCTCCTTCCCCCTTGTGAAGTTTGATGAGGAGGTCAGAAGACGCTGCTACCGTGCTATTTTTACTTCCCCCATTAACATTCGGTACCTAGCCCATCATTAGTACTCAGAGAAAGTTAGCTATGATTATTAAGTATTTCACGGTGGTTAGTTGCTGTTTGAAATTAGTTTCACATTTGTGATTTCTGCCCAACAACAGTGATGCTTCTGTCAGCAGATCGTTCATGAAGTTTTGCCTAGAAGTCAAAGGACACCTCCAGTGCCCAGGAGTCTGTTTGTGATAGAGTCAGATTCCAGGATGAACCATGCAGGGTCAGCTCAGGGTTTGGACTGGTCAGGACTCAGCACCCTCCTGTACTTAACCTTATACTGAGCCCAGTTGAAAATTGGACAGTCATAATTTTACCCCATCACATTCCCAGGATTAGACAAGCAAGAGGTGGGCTCTCCAAATGCTGCCAGGCCCTTTCCTGCACTGTTCCTGTGCAGGGGAGGCTTGAGGTCGATGTCTATAGCACAAAGTCCTCATAATCGCGTCACTCCATAACATCACCGAATCTCTGGTATCTCTGACTTAAGTGTTTAGCCTTGGCCGTCCCTTCTCCCCCAGCTGATGGCAGCAGCAGTGGGGCAATTTATTAGCATCCACTGAGACATTAACAGTGGACACAGGCTGTGGGAGGCCCATGTGAGTGGCAGCGAGAGGCCCCTCTCCCTGGGAGGCACTCTCACCTCCCCAGCAGGGCCTTGTGCTGAGAAACGAAATCCTGGGAACCAGACTTAGTTTAGTGTAGGACATATTTCTAAGACTGTGGTTCCCACACAATTTGATCAGAATTACTGATCAGGGGAGCTTTAAAAAAATGCATATTCCTTGCTGGTCTCAGATGGACTGAATCAGAATCTGGAGTGGGGGTGAAACTAAAGAAGGTGCATTTCTGTTGTTAGCTGCTGTTGAATCAGCCCCCAACTCATGGTGACCCTGTGTGTTACAGAAGAGAACTGCTCCATAGGGTTTTCTTGGCTGTAATCTTTATGGAAGCAGGTTGCCAGGCCTTTCTTCTATGGAGCCGCTGGGTGAGTTTGAACCTCCAACCTTTAGGTTAGCAGCTGATTGGAAACTGCATATGCTACCCAGGCCCCTAGGAAGTTGTATCTCTAAATAAGCACTTCACCTGATTCTGAAGTGCTATTAAAGTCGGTGAGAGGATGGTCTGGGTGTAGTCAAAGACGTGGAAGCATGGGTAGAAGATCCTAGAAGGATGCCAGATTTTATCTTTTTTGTTATCCACTTTTTCCTTCCCACCTTATGCCCTCATACCCATGCTCCTCTCCCGCTTACTCAGCAACCAAAGGCTGTCAGGGATGGCTTTCTGCCGGTACCTCACTGGGTAGATTCAGCTTGCCCGGCGCTCCATCCCTAGCCATCAGCCCCACTGTAGAGTGCTTGCAAGAGTCCTCACTGCCTGCCAGGAGGCAGGAGGTCAGGCAGAGACTGGGGACACAGCTGCAGCAGCCCAGGGCTCTGTTTCCTCCCCCAGACCCAGGCCTCTGGGGCAGAGGAAGCCTAGGCAGGAAGGCCAGAACTTCTACCAGCCGGAGAGGCCCAGGCAGCCCTGCTCCCGGGCCATCCTGCCTCCAGATCCTCAGCATCATGTGGCTTCATCGGGCACCATTTTAGACTATGTGCCTTCCGCAGCCTGTGTGGCCGGGTCCCTGTCCCTACTAGCCTCACCACATCATGCCAGAGGGCACTTCCCCTCCCTCCCTCAGGTTGGCTGCCCCACCTAGGGACCCAGTCCCCAGACATGCATCTGCACACTCTGTACCATTCAGAAAGTCCTCACTGCTGTCCGACTCAGTCCCTCTTGCTGCAGCCTAGGCCTGCGCCTTCTGTTCTCACCTTTGAGAAAGGAAGAGCAGGGTGGCTTCTCAAGCACTAGTTGATTTGAGATGTGGGTTGGAGACTATTGTTGACCAGAATTACTCCCCTTAGCACTAGTCCCCTCCCCACCAAACTTCTGGAAAAGTTCAACCCCAGCAGCCGTGGAAGGTCAAATGTTCAGTGTCTAAGTGTGTTTCACTTCCCCTCCCACATCATCGGCCCTGACCCCACCCTTTCCCAGGACAGCAAGGGGAGAGAAGGGGGCTAGGAATGGCCCAAAGAGGGCATCTTACACCTGGCAGGAGCAGGTCCTGGCCACAGTTTGTATGGTCACTATGACCCTGAAGGCTCAGAGGCCCGCACTGGGAGACAGTGGAAGGAGCACTGGACAGGGAGTCTGACATCTGGCTTGTACTCCGGGTACTGCCACTGAGTGCCACGTGACCTTGGGCAATTCTCTCCCCTGCCTGAGCTTTAATCCCTTCTTCTCTAAAATAAGGAGTGGGGCTTTGTGATTCACAAAGTGTCCTCCTAGAATTCTGTCACAGAGGTGTCAGCCCCAGGTGGCTCCTGAGACCCTGTTGCGGCTCCAGCCTGCCTTACTCCCTGCTTTGCGTGACTCCTGCCTATTCTATCCAGACCCCAATCTAAACAATCTTGATTCCTGTTCCCGGCTTGGCGGGACCCTGAATGGCAGGAAGTGAAGACAAGAGCCTGTTTATGTTTGAGGCAGCCAGGGCTTGGGGGGGCGGGGGGGCACTGGGAAAGGGGTGGGCAGGGGAGAGAGGCTGGGCCAGAGGCAGATGACAGATCATGTGGTGGCAGGGGGTGGGGGGCTGCTGAAGAGGTACCCCTTTCACCCCAGCCCCGTGCCCTCTGGCCTGCCTCCAGCCTGGGCTCAGCAACAGGGGTGCAGAGCAAGGCTTTCCCAAGCTCCAGAGTACTTAAACATGGCTCCCTACTCTTTACCCCTGACAGGATGGTTTCCATGGGGAAGTGAACCAGGACTTCCCCTGCAGGCCCCGCCCCAAAGACAGAGGCAGAGAACAGGGAGGAGGCCTCCCTGCCCCCCCCCAAAAAAAAACCTCTCAGTGATTTCCTCTTAGGTGGGAGGGACCCAGGGTCAGTGGCTGAAAACGCTGAGGGGGATCACGTTTCACAGCTCTTACCGTGCTCCTCTCCAGCTCCTCTCTCCAGAGACCATGGCATTGGGCACCCCCAGGAGGGGTCTTCTGATGCTGCTGATGGCCTTGGGCCTGACCCACAGTGAGTACGGGGGGAGCAGTTAGGGAACAGGGGCCTGGATGGAGAAAGGGCTATCTGGGCTCAGCTCAGCTCACACTGGGGCTGAATTTGAGAAGCTAAGGAGAAGGGGGACTTAGGAGCTTGGCCAGAGGGTGGGGGAGAGTGAGGCTCGGGTAGACTAGGTTCCAGCAACCCTACCCCTCCTTTGCTGTCCTCTTTAGCCAAACCTGAAGGCTGATGCTCTGTCAGTCTTCACGGTGGGGACGTATATCTAGGGGTGGAGTGAGGATGTCGGAGGGGAGAGCTAGGGCTGGGGCCTGGGAACTGGGAGGGGAAGGTCCTAAGATCAGGGAGGAGGTAGAAGCCTGGTTCTCAAATTCTCAGCTGAGCGTGGGCTTGGGGGGAAGGATAATCTGAGGATGGAACTAAGAGAACTGAGGGGTTTGTTTGAGAGGTCAGAAAGGAGTGGGCAGTGGGACAGATGTGGGTGTTGGGCTCAGCCTGGGGGAGTTGGGCCCAGCATGGATGAGCTGCTAGCATGTCTCCCAGGTGACCCTGTGAGGCCCTCTCGGGGGCCGCTAGTGACCTGCACGTGTGAGAACCCACATTGCAGGGGGCCTACCTGCCAGGGAGCCTGGTGCACAGTAGTGCTGGTGCAGGAGGAGGGCAGGCACCCCCAGGTACATCGGGGCTGCGGGAACCTGCACCAAGAGCTCTGCAGGGGGCGCCCCACTGAGTTCGTCAACCACTACTGCTGCTACAGCCCTCTCTGCAACTACAATGTGTCCCTGGTGCTGAAGGGTATGTCCAGCTGCCCCAGCAACCCCACCCCAGCTTCTTGGGCCTTGCCCTCCTTGCCCTGCTTTCCTCTCATGCTCTCGCCAGGAGGGTGGGGGAGGCAGGCCTCTGGGAAATGACTGGCAGAGGGGCAAAGTGGGGGAAGCTGGCTTTGCCGGGAGCTGGGCCTCAGTGTCCCTTTCCCCCAGCCACCCGAACCCCTCCGGAGCAGCCTCAAGTAGATGGCCAGCTACCTCTGGTCTTGGGCCCTGTGCTGGCCTTGCTGGCCCTGGTGGCCCTGGGTGCCCTAGGCCTGTGGCATGTCCGGCGGAGGCAGGAGAAGCATCGGGGCCTGCACAGTGAGCTGGGCGAGTCCAGCATCATCCTGAAGGCATCCGAGCAGGGGGACAGCATGCTCAGGGTATGGGCCTGGGGTACCTGGTACACAGGGTAGAGGTGAGATAGACAGGAGCCACAGAATCATAGAGGGTAGCCGGGAAAGGCACGATCCCAGACACTCAGAGTGGGCAGGAGCTGGGTGAGTAAGGGGCAGAGGTTAGAGTGGACAGCAGCTGGGTGAGTGAGGGGCAGAGGTTAGAGAGGACGGCAGCTGGGTGAGTGAGGGGCAGAGATCAGAGTGGGCAGGGAGCTGGTGAGGGAGGTGCATGCAGCGACACAGCAGCAGGACCCAGGTTGAGGTTGGGGGAGGGGACTGGAGTAGGTGGAAACACCCTCTCAGAGGCCCCTCGGCACCCTCAGGACCTGTTGGACAGTGACTGCACCACAGGAAGTGGCTCGGGGCTCCCCTTCCTGGTGCAGAGGACAGTGGCACGGCAGGTCGCCCTGGTGGAGTGTGTAGGTGAGCAGTGGGCGAGCTCAGGGTTGGAGACCAAGGGCTCCCATGATCCTGGAGGGGTGGGGGGAATTCTTGCACAAGCAGAGTCAGAATGGGTCAGAATGGGAATTCTGCTCTGCAGGGAATGGGTTGGAGATGGGCCCAGACTAGGTCCTTCTGCAGGGAGCCGAGGTGGAACAGGAGGCAGATAGAAGTGGAGGGCCAGCTGGGTTTGGGTCTGAATTAAGTTAAATATAAGCGTCAGAGGTTGTGCAGGTGGGGTCAGCACAGCATGAAGATGGGGGCTTTTCCAGGGGTTTCTGTGCCCATGGGCTCTGTGTGCCCAGTGTGTGACTCTCTCCCTGCTCTCCGGCCATTGGCACAGGAAAGGGCCGCTATGGCGAGGTGTGGCGGGGCCTGTGGCACGGTGAGAGCGTGGCTGTCAAGATCTTCTCCTCCAGGGATGAGCAGTCCTGGTTCCGGGAGACAGAGATCTACAACACAGTGCTGCTGAGACACGACAACATCCTAGGCAAGCAGAGGTTCTAGGTCAGGCCTGGGGCTCTCATCCCCCTGCACTCAGACCTCAAGTCCACAGACCTCCAGACACTGACCTAACCCTAAAGGACTCCCAGCCCACCTTGGCCCCCAACCTCTGACTCCAACTTTGTCTCTAACCTAAGCCAGGACAGCCTCCATCCCAACCCCAGCTTTGTCCTGACCCAGTCTAGTTCCCTCGACCCCAGTCCTGCCCCCAGGCCCAGTGCACCCTCCTGGCCTGCAGATGAGTCCAACCCCCGTCATCCCCAGTCCCTTGGCTGAGCCACCCGTCCCTTCTGTCCACAGGCTTCATCGCCTCGGACATGACCTCCCGCAACTCGAGCACGCAGCTGTGGCTCATCACGCACTACCACGAACACGGCTCGCTCTACGACTTTCTGCAAAGGCAGACGCTGGAGCCCCAGCTGGCCCTGAAGCTAGCTGTGTCCGCGGCCTGCGGCCTGGCCCATCTGCACGTGGAAATCTTCGGCACACAGGGCAAACCGGCCATAGCGCACCGCGACCTCAAGAGCCGTAACGTGCTGGTCAAGAGCAACCTGCAATGCTGCATCGCAGACCTGGGTAAGCCGGGCGGGGTAGGGATGGGCCTTACGGGTGGGCCGGGCGGAGTGGGGCGGGCCCTTCTCAGGTGGGCAGAGCCGGGTAGAGATGAGTCCTTCGCAGGAGGGAGGGCGGAGTGGGGCGGGCCCTTCGCCAGTGGGCGGGGTTCGCTCTCTCCCTTGCTGTTGTGGTTCTGCCTTTGGCTGTTTTGGTACACAACGACGATATTACTGATTTAATGGCGCTTTAAAACTCAGATGTATATTGTCTCATTTCACCCCCACAAGAGCCCCACTAGTTGCCTTAACCCTGTTTTCAAGCCCAGACTCCTTCCACCACACCCCTCTGGCTCCAGGCAGCTGGGACAAAGGGGCAGGGAGCCAGAAATCTGGGTTCTCATCCTGGCTTCATTGACTACACTGCTCCCCTTCACCAGGCCTGGGAGTTCTGCTCTGTGAAATGGGCACAGTAATGTCTGCCCTGCACATCCTTCTGGGCCTTTGGGAAACTAGAGTGCTATAGAAGCAAAGGGTAACTGGGACAGTGGTTCTCCCCGTGGCCAAAGTCTCCCAGCCCATCTCAGGGCCAAGTCTCCATTTACCTGCCCCCTCTATGCCCCACTGTCTCTCTCCATCCCCACCTTGCCCTGGGAACCCCAACCCCCAGGAGGCACCTTGTCTATGGGCTTCGTGATCAGTGATCATCAGACTGGTACCCACAGGCCTGGCCGTGATGCACTCTCAGGGTAGCGACTACCTGGACATTGGCAACAACCCACGAGTGGGCACCAAGCGGTACATGGCCCCCGAGGTGCTGGATGAGCAGATACGCACTGACTGCTTCGAGTCCTACAAGTGGACCGACATCTGGGCCTTTGGCCTGGTGCTATGGGAGATCACCCGACGGACCGTTGTCAATGGTGAGGCCCACCCTGCACGAGGTGGAGGAAGGGGAATGGGGCAGGTGGACTGGCAGGCAGGCAGGACATGGGGCTTCCTGCCATGGCTCGTGCCTGTGGCCTAAGGGGCTTATGGCCAAACCTCCTGGCATTTCTCCACTTGCCATACACCAGCTAATTTAGCTGAGTGACCTTTTAAGGTTCATCTGAGTCTGTGAGTCTGTGATTCTGGCTGTGAAATCTTGGGTAAGTGATAATAACCAAAATATTAATAGCAGCTAACATTTATTAAGTTTAAATATGTACCAGATGCCATGCTATATACTCTACATGTCTTATCTTATTTAATTCTCATGAGTTGGTGGAAGATGGTATTGCTTATTGGTTAAGAGCGCGTGCTTACAGTCAGACCACCTGGGTTCAATTCCTGATTTTGCCACTGACTGTGGGCAAATTACTTAATCTCTCTGTGCCTCGGTTTCCTTATTTGTAAAATGAGAATAAAAATATCTTCTAGCTGTTGGGAAATAATCCAAGTGTTTTAGTTTCTTAGTGCTGCTATATCAGAAATAGCAGAAGTAGGTGGCTTTAACGAACAGAGATTTATTTTCTCACAGTTTAGGAGGCTAGAAGTCCGAATTCAGGGCACTGGCTCTATGAGAAGGCTTTTCCTCTCTGTCGGCTCTAGGGGAAGGTCCTTGTCTCTTCAGCTTTCGTTCCTCAGTTCCTTGGGGATATTCTTGTTGCATGGCATCTGTCTTCCTCCATTTGCTTGCTTTCTTCTCTGCCTAATCTGCTCTTTTATATCTCAAAAGTGATTGGTTTAAAACACACCTTACACTGATGTGGCCTCATTAACATAACAAAAACTCTATTCCCAAATGGGATTATGTCCACAAGTATAGGGGTTAGGATTTATAACACGTTTTTTTTTTGGGGGGGGGACACCATTCAATCCATAACACCAAGTATTTAAAACATTAAGTGTTAGTAGCAATTGTTGTTATTACAGAGTGAGTGCTTGACCCAGTATTATCCCTGTTTTACAGATGAGAAGACTGAGGCACAGAATTATAGCTGCCTAGAGGCAGTACTGGAGTCTAAAACCAGTCTGAAACTCTAAAACCTCTCTGGTCCTTGGTTTCCTCATCCACAAAAATGTGGGATACACTATTGCCTGCACTGCCTGCTTATTGCTGCCTCATCATTACTGCCACAGGAAACTCAGATTTGGAGGGGCTATTCAGAGGTCAGCGCTGTGCAGGGCATCTGTGGTCAGTGCCCTCTCAGCCCTGGAGTGGATGGGTGATGGGCGGTAATCTGGACTGAGGGGTAGGATTGTCAGCCTTTGTGGAGACTGTCCATGGTAAGGGGCTGCCAGGAATCCTGAGAGGTTGGGGACAATCATCAGGATATGACTGGAGCCCTGCTCAGTGGGACCCCTTCAGGACATTCATTCTTACCCACTTTTTCTGAGCATCTTCCAGGAGTCAGCCCACGCTGGGCTGCATTTGCCCTCAAGGTGGTCTTTGACTGACAGCGGAGGCAGAGGCATAACCAGTCCTTCTGGGAGACTCACAAGGGACTCAGATCCCTGCCCCTTCAAGCATGAGCCCCCAGAGTCTGCTCTGGGGCGGCGGGCAGCAGAGGAAAGGGGCACCTGGAAGAAGCCGAGGTCCCTTGGACCAGGCTACAGGCGGGAAAGGAAGGCTGGACTGGCCTGGGCTGAGGGAGAGGCTGACTGCCGGCTCCTGGGGTGGAGGGGGAAGCTCTGTCAGCCCCACACAGATTCGTGGCGCATTATAAACACTGTAATCTGGTGTCAACCCCGGCACTGATTAAAGGCTCATTAGACACGCTCAGGCCTCTGTGCAGCACTGATTAGGGCAGTAGCAGCACAGGGGCCTGCTGGAAGCCCGCCATGGTGAGAACAGCTGGTGCAGGCTCTACCGAGGTTGCGGCCTACTGCCCCTAGCCTCAGGCTGGGAAGCAGGATGGGGCACTGGGCGTGTCCTCGGGGTCTGGCCTCTTCCACCCGAGCTGTCTGCAGCTCCCCTGGAATCATTTTCAGAAAGCTTCTACTAAGGACTGTGCACTTGGGAGAACATGGGGAGAGGGGTACTGCTGGCTGAGGGAATCAGAGGAGGCCTGTGTCAGCCCTCTCATTTGGACGTAGGTAAAAATCTTTTAGGGGAGGTGCCTTCTCCTCTTTCTTCTCCTTGTTCCACATCCTCCCCCAGCAATCAACCAACTATCTTTCCTTAAGTATAGCTTGGAGGTCAGGAGCATGGGCTTTGCCATAGACTTTCTGGGCTTAAATTCCAGCTCTGTCATTTACTACCTGTGTGATCTTAGACAGGTTTCTTAACGTCTCTGGCCTTGATTTCTTTGCTTTTAAGTTGCACTAATAGTATTATTTACCTCATAGGCTGTGAGATTGTTGTGAGGATTTAATGCAAAGCACTTACGACAGTGCCTGGCCTGTAGTAAGTGTAGTAAGTGCTCAGTAAACATGAGATATCATTATTCTTGAACATCTGGGAGCAGTACCCAGCCCCTGGGTAGGAGGCAGCTGTGGAAAGACTGGAGCAATATGTGGCTTAGGAGTCAAATGAGATAGGTTTAAGTCTTGATTTTGCCATCACTGACTGTATATCCTTGGGCAAATTGTTTAACTTGTCTGAGTGTCAATTTCTTCTTCTGTTAAAATAGACATAATAATAGTACTCATCCCATAGGGTTATTGTGAAGACTAACAGGGTAATGCATGTAATGTGTTTAGCACCATGTCTGGCACATGGTAAATACAAATGGCAGTAATTATAATTTATAAATATAGTTATTCATTATGTTATAGTGTCCCTGTCAGGACTGCTTGCCATAAGCACAGGGTTCCCAAGGCTCATGGGCCGGCAACTGGTTTCCTGGTCCCTGGGACAAAGGGAAAGGAGACTGTCTTCTGGGTGCCATTGGGCCTTTCTGGCGTCCTGAGTGCGTGTCCTGTCCCCACTCCATCCCCAGGCATCGTGGAAGACTACAGACCGCCCTTCTATGATGCAGTGCCCAATGACCCCAGCTTTGAGGACATGAAGAAGGTGGTGTGTATTGACCAGCAGACCCCCACCATCCCCAACCGGCTTGCTGCAGACCCGGTGAGGCCTCAGCTGGGGCTGGGATGGTGTGGGGTGGTAGCTCACAGCTGGAATTTCTGGACCCAGGTACTTGAGTCTGAGGCCTCTGCTTTACCTTGGATAGATTCCAGGTGTCCTGGTGGACAATATACCCCTGGGCACTCTCTCCTCTTTCTCATAGGCATCCCTGGCCCTTGAACCCCCAGGAAACCCTCTGCTTATTCTGGGATTTTCAGAACCCTTCACTTTGCTGTATTTCCTGCTATGGAGTTTCTTGTTGTGGTGGTGATTTGCTTTTGTTTTTTCTCCAAACACTCCACATACTTCTATGAAAACACATATGCATATATATGTATATCACACATACCAGCATGTACATGCTTCTACATAAATATACACTCACAGACATATACGCATGCACAGTATGCCTGATCATTAGCCCCATGAGGAAAGAGAGCTTGTCTCGTTTACTCACCTTTATAGTATCCCAAGTACCTATCACAATGCCTGGCACACAATAGGTGCTTAATAATTCATTATTTCATGAATGAATGTATCTCCGGATGTATATACAAATATGTATAGACACGTACATTTATACACATATCCACAAAAATCCACATATATGCATTCCTATACACACACATGGGAGCCCTGGTGGCACGGTGGTTAAGAGCTATGGCTGCTAGAAGCTACGGCTTCTAACCAAAAGGTCAGCAGTTTGAATCTACCAGCCACTCCTTGAAAACTCTATGGGGCAGTTCTACTCTGTCCTTAAGGGTTGCTATGAGTCGGAACGGAAACCCTGGTGGCATAGTGGTTAAGAGCTACAGCTGCTAACCAAAAGGTCGGCAGTTTGAATCCACCAGGCACTCCTTAGAAACCCTATGAGGCAGTTCTACTCTGTCCTATATGGTCACTGTGAGTCAGAATCGACTCGAAGGCAACAGGGTATATGCACCTACACAGACACTTTCAGGAACCACTCAAGTTCTAAGGCAGAGGTAGGACAGGCTCAGTCTGGGGCCCCTGAGCTTCCTGGGATGGGGTTCTTCCCAGACACCTGCATTTTGGGGGCAGTGACTACCCCTCATCCTTCCCCATAGTCCCCTGGGCCCAGCCATTGTTGTTTTGGTGGAGGGGCTGGGTCCAGAAACTGCTGTCTGCACTAGGGTCTCCAGCTGCAGATGGGGATGTGGGATCCCCACAGCGTGCAGATCTCCCCTTTCCCATGGATCTTGGCAGAGGTGGGGGGTGACGATAAGATGTTCCAAAGACAGCGCTCACAAAGGGGGCCCTGGGTGCTCCTGAAGATCCGAACTATATCTCTCTTTCCGTCCCTCCTGCCTTTCTCCATCTCCCTTCTCACTCTACTCTCTTCCTTCCCCCATTTTTTATCCATCTCGTCTCATTCTTGCCTGGTTCCCTCCATTCTCCCTCCTTCCTCTCGCCCTCCTTTTCAACACCCTCATCTCCCTCTTCTCGTCCTTTCTTTCTTGCTTATGTCTCCCCATCACTGGGCCATCCTCCTCACCTTCACCTTTCCATGTCCGCTGCTACCTCTCTTCTGTCTCTTTCAACCCCTAGGTCCTCTCAGGCCTGGCTCAGATGATGCGGGAGTGCTGGTACCCCAACCCCTCAGCCCGCCTCACTGCGCTACGGATCAAGAAGACGCTACAGAAGCTCAGCCACAGCCCCCTGGAGGAGCCCAAAGTGATTCACTAGCCCAGCACCTGACTCCCCTCTGCCTGCAGGGAGGGGTGATGGTGGCCTGTGTTGGGTAGAGGTAGCGTGATGTTTGTGCTGGGGAGGGGGTGACCCCTATGGGGCAGCTGCGCCTGCCCTGCCTGCCTGCTCGGCCCCCAGCCCATCCAGCCAAAAATACAGCTGGACTGAAACTCAATCCCCCGCCGTCTGGCCTGCTCAAAGCAGCAGGCTCCCTGACGCCTGGCTTCTTCCCAGCCCCCATGCCAGCAGGGCACACCCTCTACCATCCCCAGGACAGGATGCAAAAGAGGCCCCAGGGCCAGGGTGGCCAAGCCAGGGAATCCCAGTCCTGGGCCTGCACTTGACCCCCTGCCCTTGGCAACTCCACTGCCCCACCTGAGCTGACAGGGTGACACAGGGCCCTGTCCAGCCTTCAGCAGACACCCAGACCTGCCAGGCCTCAGCCTCTGGCACAATCCCAGATACCCAGGGCCCATCAGTTTCTCTCCATGACTTTGTCTTTCAGCCCCATGATGCCCTGGGCCTTCTGTTCTCCCCTGTGAGACCCCAGCTAGCTGAATGCCAGCTGCCTGGGAGAGCTGGGGCCTACCCTTGGACCCTCTTCCCCCATTCTAGCAGATTTATTAGGTCATTAAAACCCAAGAGATTCTGCTGAGGGTGTGGCAGGGTCATAGGCCAGTGGAGAGGTGGCAAGTCAGATAACGTAAGGCCCAGGGCTTTCAAAAAACTGAGAGGACTTCCAGACCAAGCATGGCCAAGGAAAGGCTCAGCTGGGAGTGAGGAGACCAAGATTCTGGTCCTGGCTGCTTGCTCTGTGCAACAAGAGTAGGGCCTTCGCTGTCTCGGGACTTTTGTTTCTTCATCATGATGTCCTTTGAGGTTCTTTCAGCTCTAATTTTTTTTTTTTTTTTAATATCAGCCTGTATCAGAGCTAAGTTCATCAATCCCATCCACCCCTTATGCCCCAGCCCCTGACAATTTGCCTCAAGATATGGATTTGAAAATAACTTTATCTGAGTCCAGGAGTGTCTGAAACACCTCCTAGTCTAATTCTGCAAGCTCCGATTCTTGCTTTAGCCCATGCCAGTGACCACACTTGGGCTCAGACAGCCTTCTGACCAACAAGCGAGCTTCCCCCTCCCCTTCTGTGGCTTAACCTTCACAGCCCCAGGACTGAGGGGCAGCTTCCTCTAGGGTCTGCCAGGTTCAGCTCCAGCCAAGAAGCCTCTAGCAGCCGCATTCCTGTTCCCCACTGGCCCCTGGCCCAGGTCCACACCCTTGGCCAGCCCCAGAGAGTATGTGTCTCAGGAGAACTCGGTGACTCTGAACACTGAAAAAATTCAACGTTTGGCCATGCACCAATGAGGGTACCCTGATCCCTAGGTGGGCAGATGGGCGGTAGGGAGATGAGTTGGAGGTAGAGCCTGAAGGAGGTCAGAGGGGGGCTCAGGCTAGGGACAAGGACAGCTGTCCTCAGGGCAGGGTGGAGAGGGACCCTTAGTTCTGTTTCAGCCAATGAAGAAAACACACCCGTCCTTCTCTCCTGCTGTAAATGACCTGCACAACCTCCCCAGGCGTTTTCTTGTGTGTTTCTTCCACCATCCCTGTGGCACTTTCCAAGGCCTGTCTCCCAGCATTGTGGGAGGCTGGGAGGAGAACCAGGAAGTGAGGAGAACCAGGAAGTGAAACTGGTAAAAACAGAAAGTAAAATGGGCCAGCCCTGTTCTCACAGCACCAGGGCAGGCTTGCTTCCCGCGAGTTTCATGTTCTCTGGGCAATGGAACGCACCCAATCCAGGAATCAGTGCCCCCCACCCCGAAGGATTTTAATCTCTACTGGGTCTTGGGGCAAACTTCGTCTGAGACCCCACAGTTGGAAACCGAGACTCTCATAAGGCTGGAAAATTCTTAAGAGAAGGTTTGAGGTAGAAGATGGAGTGAACAAGGGGAGGGTTGAGACAAGGGGGAACAGCCAACGACCAGAGAAGAGGAAGTATTGGTGAGCATGGGTCTGCATTTGCTTCTGTCCGAGGGCAAGAGGGTGTTGGAGGAGGGTACTGTTTGTGGAAGCACTTAGCATGTGCCCGGCACATAATAACGTTCTCAGTAAACGACGGTTGAATTCTGAGCTCCTGCCCGTCTTTCCAGGCCAATGTCTCTGCAGCGGACGCTCGCAGTGGTGCAGAGGGGCTCTGAGGGAATGGGAAACGAGAGGGTTCCGGGTTGCATGCACTCCCAATTTCAACAGTTTCCGCACCGCCCAGCTTAGGCCCTCGCAGGGGCCCAAATGTAAGTTCTGATCCTGAATTGGAAGCAGCCTGATCGCCGCGCCTGCCACATCGCCCTCTGCTGGCCGAAGGGCTGCCCGGCGGCCGCCTTCTTCACCACTTCAGGGACCCACAAGCTTTTCCCCGCTGGCTGGGGATCTCCGCCTGCTGTCCCGGTGCGCAGACGTGCGTGCGCTCAGCCGAGCCTCTGTTTTGAAGGGACTGTGCCCCAAGAACTACCTCTGTGTCCTTACCCAGAGGCAGCTCGGATCCGCCCACCTCAATTCTCTGTCCTCAACTCCCTCCTCAAATGGGGTCACCACTTTGCCTGGAGTCAGTCCCTATCCAGAATGCGAAGGAGTTCACCCCGAGAACTACATCCTTGGCATCCTGGGCTCAGAAAGCACCCTATCCCCCTCTCTCATCCCTCGTCCCGGGAAATGGGCGGGGGTGGGGGGGGAGGCGGAGGAAAAACTTGCTAGGGAGGAGGCAGAAGGCAGCTACTGAAAGAAGCAAGAAGGGACCTTGTCCATCTGACCTCCTCGGTCTAGAAAATCTATGCCTTTGTATTAGAGACCCTTTTAGGGAGTACTGAAGGTCCTTGGGTGGCACAAACGGTTTGCTCTGGACTATTAAAGTTAGTGGTTTGAACCCACCCAGTTGTGCCATAAGAAGCCTTGGTGACGCAGGGGTTAAAGGTCTCAGCTGCTAACCAAAATGTTGGCGAATTGAACACATGAACCCATCAGTGTTCCTCAGGAGAAAGATGTGGCAGTCTGCTTCTGTAAAGATTATAGCCTTGGAAACCCTATGAGGCAGTTCTGCCCTATCCTATAGGGTCGCTATGAGTAGAAATGTACTAGACGGCAGTGGGTTTTTTAGTGGCACCATAGAAAAAAGATCTGGTGATCTGCTTCCCTAAAGATTACAACCAAGAAAACCCTATGGAGCAGTTCTACACTTTAGCACATGGGGTCACCATGAGTTGGAAGTCACTCAATGGCAACAGGTTTGGTTTTAGGGAGCCCCAGGGAGGGAATCTCAATTCGTTGTTACCAAGGAAGACCTCACCTATTCCCCAGAGCCCCGAAATCAGCCTCATCCCTGGAGTTTCCTACATTCTTCCGGTGCCTGGGTTCACAGAGTCCCCACAACGGACAGTGCCTTCCCAGAGGACTCCAGCACCAGGCTTCTTAGATCAGCTTTGGGGAAACAATAGTGTTCCTAACATCCCCCAAAGGCAGCCTTTCCACCCCCACCCCCCACCCCGCACCTGCCAGATCCTGGTCCTTACATCCCCACCCTGATGTCCACACTGTAGTTGGGAATAGGGAGAAGAGCAGCAGGAAAATTGCAGAATAAACAGCTACATGAACCCTGGCTGGGGTCTGGGGAAGAATTGGCTCATTGCCGTCCAAGGCTAAAAGAGCCCTTGGGAGGCCACCATGTCCAACCCCCTGCTTCTGTGCAGCAACTCATCTGAGCTTTTGAAAGGAGAAAACCCACTGCCCTTTTTGCATCTTTCCAGTTTTGCCCTGATTCCCTGGGGGATGTCAGGCTTCAGTTTCCTTACCCGTACAAAGAGGGACAGGATCGTTTGGGTGGCCCTCTCAGAAGGGTAATGGGTGTCTATAACAAGCTGAAGTGGGGTAAAGGTGGTCCCTGGAGCATGAGTCTTGATGCTGGGACCACCCCTTCCCCAACCAAGGCCTCATGGTACCCAGGTCCTCAAGGACAATTCTGTCTACTCTCTCAGGCACCATTCTCCTTTAGTCTAGCCCCAGTCAGCCTTCAAGGAGAATGCTCTGCTTCCTCCATATCTTTACTTGCATCAAGATTTACAGCCCATCAGATTTCTTAACTTCTCTGAGCCTGGCCCGCCCAATTCTAGGATTCTGTGACAAGCACCAGGATGATCCCTCTGGGCACCGTTTGTGTTTTGGGGGTCTTGCAGCACCATCCCCTTTCTGCTGGGCCCTGGTATCCTGGCTCCTCTCTCAGCTCTACCACTGATCTCTGTGCCTTAGTTTACTTCTCCGCACAGGTGGCTCACTACACGACCATCCCCAGCATCTTCCCAGATATTTTGGTGCCTCCAAGGTTGAGCCTTGCCAGCCATGTCCCAGGTCCCTAGTACTGTCCAAGGGTGTCAAGTTGCTGAGGATGAGGTGATCGGAAGCATCATTCTAGCCAGTGGTTCACAAAGCATGGTCCTGGACCAGCAGCATCAGCATCACCTGGGAACTGTTAGAAATGCAAATTATCGGCCCCACCCCAGACCTACTGAATGGGAACCTCTGGGGCAGAGCCCAGCAATCTGGATTTCAACAGCCCTCCAGTAATTCTGATAGATACTGGAGTTTGCCAACTGCTGATCTAGGTTATTAGTTAGTGCAACCTACGAAGGGGCTGGGATTGACCTAGGCCAAGAGCAGGTAGAAACACCAACCTTGTCTGGACTCCTGAGAGATTGGGAATCCTTCAACCAGTGGTCTCTTCTTGGAAGCTGGAGGGCAGGGAGAAGGAACCAATTTTTCCTTTCCTTGCCCCTGGCTTGGCTCCATCCTTGCTCACCTCTCCCACTTCTCTGGATTTTATATAAGGCTCTGTGGGGTTGTGCCAGCCAGGCAAGGGTGGGAGTCCTGGGGAGCAGGAGGCAAAAATCCTGTCAGTTCGTCCCTTGGGAACTTCACAATGAGTCCGATAGCCTCCCTCCAAACGGAAAGAAACCTAATTTCTCAAGGGAAGAATCTCCAGCTCCTCCTCCTCCCACCCCCAGGGAGACCTTGTAGACAGTGCCAAAAAACAGCTCCAACCCCCAGTGGCTGGGCAAGAGAGCCAGAAGCTGTCCCTCCTCTACCTGATCCCTTTGCCCAGCCCCTGCCAATACTGTGAAGCCCCCTTCCTGC